ATCTAAATAAAATTATCAAGCTTTCGGCTTTTTAGTTTTTTGGTCCAGACACGGTCCCTTGATATTGAGCCACGCGGCAATGAAGTGTGACAAAGTAAGCGGCCCATAAAGGTCATCAGAGTTAATTAACTTGCCAGCGTCCCTTGTCGAAGGGAAAAACAGGTCAGTTGTATATAAACACAGTGCCCACGTCCTTGCGCACCGCGATCACGTATAGCTCCTGAGTAAACCAGCAATCAACAGAGAACACAGAGTGCACGAGCAATTTATCAAGTATTAGCCAGATGCAGCGGGAAAAGCTTTGCATTCAAGTATATACTGCTAGTTAGTGCTGCTAGCCTGCTAGTAAGTTTCGTGTGAGCGAGAAGTTGTGTATATATAACCTCTGCGTGGTTGCGGGAACGCGCGCGCTATAGGCAGCGCATGTGTGGGTCATATTGCATCTTCAAATATACAATTCTGTTATTATATAATTGATTCTCTCTCTCTCTTTCTCTCACTCTCTCTCTCTCTCTCTCTCTCTCTCTTCTCTCACTTCTCTCTCTCGTCTACTCTCTCTCTCTCTCTTCTCGCCTTATCTCTCGCTCTCTCTCTCTTCCTCCCTCCCTGCTCTCTATCTCTCTGTCTGCTCTGTCGGTTCTGTCTGGTCTGTCTGTCTGTCATGTCTCTCTCTGGCTCTCTCTCTCTCTCTCTCTCTCTCTCTCTCTCTCTCTCTCTCTCTCTCTCTCCCTCGGTACGGCTATCTCTCTCTGTCTAGTCTGTCTGTCTGTCTCCTCCTCTTCTCTCTCTGTTACTCTTCTCTCCAATCCTCCCTCCCCTCTCTCTCTCTGCTATCTCTCTCTCTCTCTCTTCTACTCTCTTCGCTTCTCTCTCTCTCTCTCTCTCTCTCTCTCTCTCTGCTCACTCTACCCCATCTTTTCACACCTACACGTTTAACTTTTACCGTTGGTGTTTTATGTTTATGGGCTGCCGCATTGTTTACATTTCGGATTCTGCTATTCATTCAAATAGGGCGCATTTGCTATAGAAAGTTTTCTATTTTACTCTTGGTGTTTTCTGTTTATGCGCGTACTGTTTCCATCGCGATTGAGCGGTTTTTGTTTACATCTCTCTCTCTCTCTCTCTCTCTCTCTCTCTCTCTCTCTCTCTCTCTCTTTCTTTCTTTCGTTCTCTCTCTCTCTCTCTCTCTCTCAACAATCCTGGGCAGCGAAATTACATATTTTGGTACTTTCATATCAAAATTGATTTTGGACGAAATGATCGTATATTGTAGACTCCATGGAGAGCTAGGAAATAGTGGAGCGCACGCATCACTGCTCACGTGGAGATGGTTTTAGTATAATCTGGTACCGTGCGAACCCCTGGTAGGGAATTAACTCCAGGATAAATATAATTTTACGGATATTTTAGTAACGAACTGATGATTCGCAGGTCTGCAGTTACTTGCTGGTTGAACCGCTTGTGAAACATCGCTCTGGTGGTGGTGGAGGCCGAAATTCTACACACACACACACACACGCACACGCGCACACGCACACGCACACACCCACATATATATATATATATGATATATATATATATATATATATATATCGACTGTCGTGTACATGCACCTCAAACCAAAACAGTTCAGGTAAAGCATTTTCACCTAAAACCACTAACGGAAATATTACCCACATATATTGCTACTATATCGATTCGCACCTAAGGTGAGTGAACTCTAGCAGGCAGTTCGGAATAAGAAAATCCTTCAGAAAGCTCGACTGCATGATTATAGAGCTGCTGCTGCTGCAGAGGGAATGAAACGTGAGCCGTACACAAGCTTTCTAACGCAACTGCATGTAGACCGTCCGGCGCCACAGCGATGTGCTATTTCATTTCACTTCTATTTTCCCTCCTCGATACACACATGGCTGTCTGTCCATATTCTAGGAAGTAAACGTTCAAGGTATAGCTATAAGCACATATTAGGGTTGTTAGGGACCTATTTCTTTACTGGGCGCACAGATATTTTGTATGTCCGTGACTAGGAAATTTCAGACGATAAACCATAAACGTAAATTTCATCGGGAGTCAGTAAAAACAAAAAATGTAAACAAAATAATTTTTGGTTATTCTTGGTTGCACACGCGTCCAACTGGTTCAATATCTGCTCTAAAAACACTCGATCGCATTGTTTACACGCACGCACGCACGCACGCGCGCGCGCGCACGCACGCACGCACGCACGCACGCAC